CCAGAAAAACATTACAAATATAATATTAACACCGTGGCTGATCAAAAACATGCAGTTAGTACGATATGCAATACATAATTAGAAGGTAATGCTAAATGGATATAAAACATGTACGTATTTGTAAATGATATCATATATGGTTATATTTTTTAGATAAACCAGATGATATGGTCCTATAAAAAAACTTATAAAATTCTAGCCCGCGCATCGAGCGGGCCACTTCGCTAGTTATATACATAAATGTAGAAATTAGAAATGTATTGAGTAAACAATAAATCGAAAAGGATGTGAGCATGCTGTTGAAAATCACTTCTCAGCATTAGAGAAATTCACAAGAACCTAATTAAAGCAAATGGGACATAACTAACTAGAAATAAAGTAAAGCAGGGCCAGTCCAATATGCATGGCCCAGGCGAACTCTGGGTTACCAAAAGCTCATAGCTCGCGAGCTTAATAAGCGCTCGATAGTTCAGCTCGTTAAGCTCGTAGCTCGCTTCTTAATGAACAGAGCCAATCATTGTTTTTAGCTCGTTAAGCTTAACGAGCTTAATGAGCGAGCTAACGAGTTTCACAAGTAGCTCATTAAGCTCGTTAGTAACAACACAATACATATTTTCATCTTACATGACAAACTTTTTGTAGCATCTCAGCTCATCTATTTAATCTAATCGACATACGAGACAACAAACTACTTCATTTCTTTTTGTAGTCACCATATTTCAACTTGAGAATCATACCTACACGTTCATCATGTATATAGTAACACATTATAATATGTTAACGAGCGCTCACGAGCTTAACGAGCTTCAAACGAGCCAAGCCGAGCAAGGTTTTATGCTTGTTAATTTTAACGGGCTTAACGAGCCGAGCCTTAACGAGCGCGAGCTTAACGAGTACGAGCTTAACGAGCCGAGCTGCTCGTTAGTCCACCCCTAGTCCCGCAGTCACAAGACACTCATATGTATGTTCACTAGACGATAGTTCCTTTCCCGAGTTTAGTAAGCTTCCAATTGCATATAAATTAGAAAATACAGTATACAAAATTGCAGCAAGGATACATAATAATTAATAACGGAAAAACTAACGCCCACACGTGTGGGCGTTTGCACATCGCTCACACACCTCCATCACCACTCATTTTGCCACGTATAAATAGATGACATCAGCAGAAATCTTTTTGGTTTTCAGCTTAAAAATGTTTTATCTCCTAATTAAAAAAGAGAATTAAAAATCCGTTTTCATCATTAAATCCGCCTCGACGAGATCTTCAAAACTAGACCCCATGTTGATATGTTTCGAAGAAATTTTTTTTTTGCTCAGAAGTTGTCATGATGTTTACCCTATAGTTGCCATAGTACTTAAACTAAAGTTGCCATGTGGCAATTTTAGTTTGTAGATCATGACAATTTTCGTTTTTTTATTATGGCAATTCCAGTACTTTTACCATGAAAATATTTTGTTTATGAACCATGGCAATTTTAAGTGCATGTATCATGGCAATTTTAGTTTATGGTGCATGACAATTCTAGTGTCTTAATTCCCCGTTTTATAATATGTTAAAATTTACTTTTAAATGTAAAAGAAAATAGCTGAAACATATCATGGCAATTTCAGCGCAAATATCTGCAATTCATGTGCAATAGAGATGGCAACTTTTAACAAAAAAAATTCGCCGAAATATATCGATATGAGATCTAGTTTCGAAGATCTCGTCGCGGGGGTTTTAATGGTGAAAACGGATCTTTAATCGGATTTTTCATTTAAGAGATAAAACATTTTAAAAACTGAAAATCCAAAAAGATTTTCACATGCATGCATGCGGTGACATGGCGTAGTCTGTGTGTTATATGGCGTGTGGGCGAGTTTGGCTCCCACCATATGTGTGGGCGTTAGCGTTGTCCATTAACAATGATTTAACTCTGAAACTGCACATTGTGACCAGATTGAATAAGGGCCTGTTCGGTAGCTTCCCAGCTCCCCGCTTTGCCGAATCCGCGACTGGAGCTGGCCCGAACGGCTCGGCTCCACGAAGCTGGCTTCCCGGATCAGGCCGGGCTATGTACAAAAACGTGGAGCAGTTTATTTGGGGCGTGTTTGGTTGTCCGCATGCAGCCCAACCAGGCCCGCGCGGGATGTATGCGGCCTGTTTGGTTGCCTGGGCTGCATGCGGTTTGAGGCCCGCACGGACCTTAAAGCAGCCCGCAGTCTGGCCCGGCGAAAACTGCCGAATCGGTAGTTTCTCGCGAGCCTGGCCGCGTGCGCCACGCGTGCGAGGAAGTTGCACGCCTCGGGAAGCGCAGAAGACGGAGGCGACGTCTCATTACTCTCTCCCCACTCTCCTGTCACCGCCCAGATGCACTGTTCCCACCGCTCCCTCTCTCTCCCTCAGCGCCGCTCCCTCTCCTCTCCTTCGATGGCTCCGCCACGCCCACCGCCGCGCCACCCTCTGACCCCCGTCGACCAGCGCATCGCCGGCATCCAGGAGCGCTGGCTGGCCGGGATCCAGAACTCGGGCCATCCCCCATCTGCTGTCGGCCACCACGAGCGCAGGACAATGCGGCGCCGGCCGCTCCTGCTCCGCCGCCGATTCCGGACCTCGTCGTCTTGGGCTCGGCACCGGCGCCGTCGACGGAGCCGCCCCTTCTTGGGACCCCATTGGCCATGGGGGTTTTCTTGACCCCCGTCCAAGGTTTTTCTCCGGTCGGCGGGCCGTCCTTCTCGACCTCCGGCGTGGTGTTGAACACGGGGCCGAAGCCGCAGGCCGGCGCCGGGGCCGGCGCATCCTCTGCTCCGCCCCCTCTCTCCTTCCCGCCGGGGTTTTCACCCCGGCCTCGGTTTGCCGCGGCTGCACGTGCTCCGGTGAGTCAAACCCCTCGATCCTTGCTCCTAGATATAGATTATATGTTTATTTCTTAGGCATATTGTAGTAGTAGGTGGATTCAATAGGATTAGATAGGATTATAGCAAATCGATTGGATGCTATCCCAATCGAATCCAATCGGACTGATCTGTTCTTGTTTTGTACAGTGTGTGTGCTAGGATAATGTTTCTTGTGCTACTGCTTGTGTGTTCTATGATTTGTGTTCATGCTAGTAGGTGTGTTCATGCTAGAATCATGTTCATATTGAGTGATGAATGTTATACTGATGTCATGTTCATGTTGAGTGGTGAATGCTAGAATCATGTTGACTAATGGCATGTTCATGTTCTAGATATGATCATGTTCATGTTTCATGGTGCTAACATACATGTTCTTGCTAGGGTTTGTGTTGAATGTTATACGTGCATGTAGTAGGATCATTTTAGGATGGTGCCAAATCTGCATGGCTGCACATGGGTGCTATTGACACTTGGTGTTGCTATTTTTAGATGTTACCGTGTTTAGGATAGTGCAGTGTTGAGTGTCAGTTCCATCAAAGAAGATGGCACTTATCAATGGCACTTGCTGTTGGGCAAGTCCACTGAAGTGGACACAGCAAGTGCCATTGATAAGTGGCATTTCCTCAAAGAGTTTGTGGACTGATCAGTGTCATTTGCTCTTGGGAAAATGTCCCTGATTAGTGCCATTTTGCAAAGAGTTTGCGCACTAATACTTGTCATCTTACCTGACAAGATATTGAAGACTGACTGGGATGTGCCGGGAGGAGGAGCTCAGGTGGTGGCCGGAGCTGAGCGCGCCGAGGATTTCATCCCCATGAACAGGTGGCTCGGGAAGGTGGACCTGCCTGGCAGGATCGCCTTCATGAGCGTGCCACGTTCAAGGGGACAATCTCCGAGGCAGGGCCACGAGGAGGGGGCCAGGGAGCCGATGCGCTTACACCGGCAGATCAAGGATAACGAGGACCTCGCCATGCTCGTCGTGCCTCCCAAGTTCATGGAGGTGATGAACACCTGGCTGGTCATCAAGCAGCTCCCGCGCGTCGTCAGGCTGTCGGCGAACAAGCGGTGCGTGTTCTGGATGCTGGTGCAGAACTTCGAGGGGCACATGGTGCTTGGCCGGGGCTAGAACTACTTCTGCCGCCGCCACCGGATCGTCCCCGGCGACCTCGTCGTTGTGCGCATCTCCGGACTCGGACTGAAGGTTCAGATCTACAACCACGACTCCTCGGTGATGTGCATGTTTCGTTGCACCAGGCACAATTGCGTTGGTAACATCGAGCAGGCTATGTAGTTAACTTAAGTAAGGTGTTAGTGGAGAACTTTTATGGTGTGTGGCGAGACTTGTGCTAGAACTTGTTCATATTTTGGCCAGGAGCAGCACCTTGGTATGAAGCAGGAAAGGAGGATGCCCCTGCTTTTAATCTAGACTTATGCTATGTAGTTAAGTAGTTTGTTGTCTTTTCCTTACTTGTTGTGTTAAGTTTGCTGTCATTACATTGCTTACTTTGTTTGATCTTGTTGTTTTGCTGTTGCTGTTGTGCTGATCATGTGGTGGTAAGGCCATCATATTTGAATGGGGTGAGCAGAACACAAACGTTGTTCGCAACAAAATAACTGAAGTTTGCATCTGCTCACACCATAAGCACAAAAACGGCAACCAAACAGCAGGGGGATAAATGCCTCTCCATGTGATGCAGGCAACCAAACAGATTGCATCTGCTGCATATAAGGCTACATTTTATCAACGAGATTGGCTGGAGATGAACATGCAATACAACTAGTGTTGCAAACTACAACCAAACACGCCCTTGGAAATCCCAGAAAACGCAAAAACAGGAGTTCACTCTTATTACAGAGTTGTGCCACCGCCAAGTGCCATACGTACCGGTTCGATAGATAGGCTGAAGAGACGCCCCGATCCCCGCTCTCTTATTACAGATATGTGCCACTCTCTTATTACAGAGATGGGGCCCACCGTCAGTCTTGCAAGTGAGCTCTCTCGGTCAGAATTGTACTGTACTCCGGATAATTAAGCAGGTCCAGATCCCGGCAGGTCGGCACGCAACGCAGTCCTCCACCACCACCACCCAGCTCGCTCGTCTGTGTCGTCCTCGCTAGTCATGCCGACGGTAAATATCGTGGAGGTCGGCCACGTGGTGGTGCCACAACCGGAGGACTTGGTAGTCAGGCTATCCGCGCTGGACGCGCCGTGGGTGGCGAACCCGCTAATCCAGCGCGTGCTCCTCTTCGTCCATGACGCCGGCGGCCAGCAGCACCCGCCCTTCGAGTCGCTCATGGGCTCCCTCCGCGCGTCCCTCGTGGCCACGCTCGCGCGGCTCCCCCCGCTCGCCGGGAGGGTCGTCTTCCTACCGTCCACCGGCGATGCCGCCATCGACTGCTCCGGCCCCGAGGGAGGAGGCGGCGTGCGGTTCGTGGTCGCGGAGAGCGACGACACGGACGTGCGGCGGCTAGCGGGGGACGCGGACCACGACATGGACGCGTTCGAGGCGCTCGTCCCGGAGCTCAAGGTGGAGGCGCTCCCCGCGGAGGTGCTGGCCGTGCAGGTCACGCGGCTCAAAGGCGGGGTGGCGGTCGGCGTGGCTCTGCACCACGCCGTGGTCGACGGCCGGTCGGTGTGGATGTTCCTGCAGGCATGGGCCGCGGCCTGCCGCGGCGATGATGATGCTGCCGTGGCTACCATGACGTTTGACCGCGCGGTGGTCGCCATCCCCGGCGGCGAGGAGCTGGCGAGGAGCACGCTGCGGAAGTATGCGCCCAATCTGCCGCTGGTATGTTGCTCGCCCCTTACTTCCCTTCCATGTCCGTTAGTGTCTAGCTAGCCGCGCGGTCAAACTAAGCAGCCCGATTCCCTTTCCTTGGAAAAATTAAAATACCTTTCTACCTCTGCAGTCTGCACCGTGTAGATTTGATTTCCTAATAACTCAGGTCAACCACTGGCCATCAATTTTTGGGTAAGTTTCATGTTTTATTGTTTTTTCTCGTGGAGGTTCGACACCATCGCCCCCTACGTGCAGGGGCAGATGCACCTGGGGTCAAGGGTGTACAGATGTACACCCAAATGTTTTGGCAGAAATTTTTTATATATGATTTATACTAGATGCATGTACAAAAAGTGGTGTGGTTTGTGCAATAAACATCATGTTGTTTCATATAAACTGGCCTCAAATCTTCGTTCCAACAATCACAAACATCTTGATTCCCTTAAGACCAATTACCATCGATGCTTTTTCACTGTCTCATATCTTGCATTAACACCCTATTACTATTACCAGCCCTACATGAACTATGGTTTTCACGACGCCTTGTTTTTGGCCATGACATATTTTATGATTGTGTAGAAAAGAATTTCAAATTTTACTATTTTCTGTAGGATAATGCCATTATTCTTTGAAAAAAAGTTCTTACTAGCTACACGAACCTTTTAGATATTGTAGTGCAATTTTTTTTTTTTTTGAACACCCAATTTTGAAATCCTGAATCCGCCACTACCTACGTGGCTTCAAGTTGTGCATTTTAGTTCTAGATAAATTCATTTTTATCTATTTACGACAAACAATTTCAGACAGAGGGACTAGTAATCTTCAAAGCTTGAAACATTAAGGCCCTGTTTGGTTCATAAGTCCTAGGACTTTTTTTAGTCCCAACTTATAAGTCCCAAGTCCCTAAAAAGTCTCTACCTGTTTGGTTCCTGGGACTTATAAGTCTCTACAAGACCATATTATAACTATAAGTCTCTCCTTGAGAGTCTTATTTTATAAGTCCCAAATGCCCACTTTAAATTCCTATAAGTCCCTCCTATTTGGTTTAGATGGGACTTATAATCCCTGAAAACAAACACCCTCTAGTTTTGTAGAGCTCAAAATGGCCAATCAGCCGGCTTCAGTCCAGCGGTTTTAGCTACCAACGCTTGCATGCAAAGATTAACTGCACGCACAGGAAACGAGGCGCAGCATACGCGGCCGGTTGCAGGCAACGACTTGCATGCAAACCTCATCGCTACGCATGGGAAGGTGTGCAGCCTTAGGCTGGTCATAGTGGAGAGGAACTTAGACTACTGTCATACATATGACATTAGTCTATGTTACTACCTTCATAATGCAAAGTGTCATAGAAATACTAGTATTATATATGGTTGTATTTATTAGCTTATAGACTCAATATTTCTTGGGAAGCGCTATGTGATGGTAACATAATATGTTACTCCAAACACCTCTCTCATCATTAACTAGGTGCCACATAAGCAAACTTGTCTTGCGATGTGTTATGTTACTACCTAAGTTACTCCCACTATGACTAGCCTTAGGAAAAGGAAAATGCAAGTCATTGGTGCAGCCGTGCAGGCTTTCAGCTCGAGCAGCCTAACTTTTCCGGGCGGGGCTTCATGGTCACAAGACCTTTTAAATCCGGACGGAGGTATTAGTACTTCCTTCGGTCTTTTTTAGTCCGCATATAAGGCTAATCATAGTGAGGAGTAACATATATTAATATCATGCATACGATACTAGTGTATGATACTATATCCATAGTGCATAGTATCATAAAGTAGTATCATAAGTGGTCTCATTTATTGCCGCATGACACATAGCATAACATTTATTATGTTACGGTATATACCTATGTTACTATGACTGTCTCTCTCTTCTTTAATTATCCGTCACGTAAGCATGTTTGCGAGTCCCAAGTACTCTCTCCGTCGCGGTTTAGAAGGCACAATTAAATTTGCGTGCATTTCCACAATAGACAAGGTTTAGGGCGCATTGCATTTATTTCTAGTAGCTAATTAGTACTCCGATATATTATTTCTATATGCATGCGTAGTGTGAATGCTATTTTTTAGCCCATCTCATAATCAATAGATAATCACCTAGGTCTCAGAGAATTTTCAAACGCGCCTTCTAAACCGTGACGGAGGTAGTACATGATACTAGTTATGTTACCCTCACTATTGCCAGCCTAAGTTTTTGTCGAAAGTCAAAGCATCTCTATTTTGACCAAACTTATAGAAAAAAGTATCAAGATTTTTAATGACAAATTAATATTATTAAATTCATAATGAAATGTAGTTTCATGGAATATATATTCGGTATGGTAGATGTTGTCGAATTTATAAAAAAACCACGGCTAAAAAATTATAGTATAGAAAATTCTTATAGTGCAACATAAAGCAATATGTTTCTTCGTAGGTTTCTAAATAGCATAATCGTCATATCCCCAGTTTGTAAAACAACTATGAAGCAAACTTCATAATCTTTTAGAGGTTGTCGAGGCCACCCGCAAACTTAGAGTCACCATAATGAGATCTTCATTTTTTTTCTATGCTTTTATTTTGTTTGGTCGCATCAACTCAATACTCACACACTCAATTGGATGGACTCAAATCTTTGAATTGAGATAGTATTGCAATATAAAATTCTTATATAGGGGAGAAATGTTGATTTGCAACCTTTTCATGCATAATTAGTATTCGAGGTGTTCAAAATTTATCGCTTTTTATAAATAAGTAGTGAATATAACTAACAGAAATGATAAGCGACATTTGCATGCATATATTACTAGACGACTTAGCTCAAGGACTAGAGTGGCATTGTTACAGTCCGGCGTGGTCTCGATGGAACGGAGCTCCTAGGGGACAGGAGTCGCATGGTAGACGTGGCTATGGTCCCTGACAACACGAAAATGGGTGACAACACTTGCATCCCATTCTAACAGGCGCCATCGTGAGATTGGAGATGACTTGGCCAGCCGGGGGATTATCCCAGATGAAGCGTCCTGTTTGCGCATCAATCTCCCACTGCTGCCTCCTATGTCACCTCATAGTCATGCTAGATGGCCTTAGGGCCACCGAAGACGAGGCGGACCGACGGTGTCGGCAGGACGCGAAGGAACTCTAAGTTTTCTTTTGAAGAGGGAGGCGACGGCTGCGTCTTGTTGCTTCTAAAATTGATGTTGTTGAACCCATTAAAGAGAATTTCAAACCAAAGAGATAGATAAGGGAAGTCACTCACAACCTGATATTGGTGTAACTTAGTAACGCTGGTGTTATTGTAACTTAATAAAGCTAGAGGCTTGGTCGTGTGCGCATAACCTCGTCACCCATATATTAGCCAACTAAGCCAAGGCTTGGCGAGAATCTAGACATGACCGGACAACACTAGAGTACCATTTTACTCAAACTCTTCATACGAGGCCAGATAAAACACATAGGAGAAGTAGGGTATTACCTAGGGCCCGAACCTACATAAAATACATCAATGTGAATCCCCTACATATACCATCCACGCAAGCCTTGCTCCTCAAAATCTTCCAAATCATGTGTATTGTCACGAAATCCCCTTGCACATGATTTGAGCTAATATAGAACATAATAAATCATATAAAATCACTATTTGAACAACATTTTCAACGCACATGGGCATTTGAGACTTCCGCCACCAACTACGGGCTCGCAAGGCATTCTAAAAGCTGTTTCGAAACATAGGTGTTTTGGTGTTCTCGACTTATATCAGCTTCAGTGGTTTCTCAGCTTCTACTAGCTTCACTTGCTTGTCATTTCAACCGCAACCCAAACAAACAGGACCTAAGATAAGCACTAGAATATGCATCCTTAGAGTACTGATTTCCTTTTATTGCCAATGCTATAAAATTAACATTTTCGGACACTCATTGCATTGCAGGCCGCCAACATGTTCCTTAGCGCCCCAATTAAACTCCCTCGTCGGACGTTCACCATCACCGCAAAGCACATCCAACACCTGAAGCAATGCATGTCCGGCCAAATGACCTCCGGGAAGCCCGCCACGGCACCCATGCCATCCAGCTTTGTGGCTATCGCAGCGCTCGCCTGGGTGTCCTTCGTCCGTTCCAAGCACCCGACCGCCATCGCCACCAGGCACAACGTCTACCTCTTCTTCTTCATCGACTGTCGCGGGCGGCCTGGCATTGACCCGCCTGTGAGTGAGAACTACTTCGGGACGTGCATCACCGGGTGCCTCGTCAAGGCCATGGCACGGGACCTTCTCGCGGTTGACGGTGTCGCAGTTGCCATGGAGGTGATTCAGCGGGAGGTGCAGCGAACAGCCGAGGACCCGCTCGGCCTTTGGGACTGGATGGACATTGTGTCATGGGTGCCACTCGACCGGTTGGTGGGCATCAACGGGTCCACGCGGTTCAAGGCATACGAGGTGACCGACTTCGGTTGGGGTGCACCGAGCAGGACGGAGGTGGTCACCATGAGCGACGGGCGGGTGGTGCTGGTCGCCGCCAAAAACGGCGGAGTGCAGGCGTCCGTGTGCATGCACCCGGATCATGCACGCTCATTCAACTCTCACTTTCTTGATTCTCTAGGTTGATTCATGTGTATGCTGTATCGTCGGCGGCAGCTCGGCGTGACATTACTGTGTGTCAATGTCCATGTGCTTTACCAGTTTAGTCTAGGCATTCTATCTATCTATCTACCTACTATTTATAGTCATTTAAATTCCTATTCAAATATTTGGTATGTAATTCCAAAAACCTCGATTAAGACATTACTGTGTGTCAATGTCCATGTGCTTTACCAGTTTAGTCTAGGCATTCTATCTATCTATCTACCTACTATTTATAGTCATTTAAATTCCTATTCAAATATTTGGTATGTAATTCCAAAAACCTCGATTAAGGCTATGATCAAGCATTACCTACTATTTATAGTCATTTAAATTCCTATTCAAATATTTGGTATGGATCGCTTGCATTTTTGTAATATTAAACTATGTCATATTAATTTTTTAGATCGTTTTGGGTGCTTGTAATGTAAGTGTTGCGTGCATTTCATTATGAGGTCGAAAGTGAACGCTTGTGGTTGTAATGCTTTGATGTGGCATTTCATTAGTAGTTTTATGGGCGTGGTTCATTTGTATCTCCCACATGTTTCTTTTTCTCGCTAAGTTTATTCTTCAACATTGCGCTCAATATATATCACTATGATCAAGCTGTGTAATTTAGTTTCACAATTCTCACATGCTTTCTTTCCTCGCTAAGCTTCTTTAGCATTGGGCTCAATATATATCCTCGCGTATTTCACAAGATGTGTGCACTATCCATTTACCTCTCTGGTTACTTATCTAAGCATCAGAATGCAAATTTTATCTAGCAACCATTATCTTTAGCTAGGTATCTACAATCCTTTTGTTATCATGGTGCCAGTTGACGCATCAGCCGAAACTGAACGGTTCCTATATTTCGTCTGAGCTAGTGATGTCTGTGTTTGAAGGGTTCGAACTTTCAAAAATAAAAAATGACACTAAATTTTTGCATGATCATAATCTGGCAATGTGCGGGTAGTAGCACGAACCTGAGCCGCCTAGCCTAGAGGTACCATGCTGACCTATGGAGTTTCACTCATCCTTGATGAGCTTCGGATGGCTCTCATCTCACCAAAGTCAGGTTTCCATCCCAGTGCTTCCAAAATAGGTTGATTTCAGAAACATGTTTCCTCTATTATTGATGAAAGCAAGGATTGTGTGTGTGCGCGCGCGCATGTGTG